ACTTGTGTCTGAAGTCTTCTGCCAAAATCACTTCGCTGTTGTAACCATCTAGGTTTCCAGGTGGCATTATCCAGCAGGTCTGCATAAAGAGGATGACTGGGCCACAGGCCTGAGTGCAGGTGTTTGGAAGGGTCTACACTTGGCTGTATCTCACAGCGGGGAGGTCTTTTCTCCTCCCCTTGACATTGTGATAAAAAGCCCTTTGGAATAAAGTTCAGGGCTGGTGGGTTTGGACCCAGGCCCTCCCGAGGCTATCTCGTGTTTTCTGTCTGTCTCTCCTCTCTATACTTCTACCTACAAATTCCTAATTTCTCTCTGCTCAAAAGTACCCTGGGGGAATAAGAGGGAGCTGGTCTCCCTCAATTCGTAAGTAAGGAGCACAAGGATTCTGAGCCAGGCCACTTGACTTCTGAGTCTATGATTCTGCCACTACTATATGACACGAGACAAAATGAATCTGGGCAAGTGAGGGCCAGACAGAAGAGGTAACAGCATATGGAATGTCTCATGATCACTTCTCCACCTTCTGGCTATGATAAAGTGTAGTAACATCTGTGCATGGCATTCTGTTAGGGGCTAGGGACACAAACTGGCAAAAAGCATTTCTATCCTCAAACATAACACCGTCAGCACACCTCGGAGCCTGTAATTCCAGCACTTTGGAAACTGAAGCAGGAGAACCACCATGAGTTCAAGTCTGGCTTGGGCAGGAGATTAAATTTAGGGCTACCAGGACTACAGAATGAGAGCCTGTCTCAAAAAGCTGGAGCGAGTAGAGAATCTCACCATCTACTTCGAAACTCAGACTTAAAAAGCAGACATCTCTGAGCAGGTAGAAGCCTTCACACAGGGTTGATGCTTCCTCATCAAACAAGGAGCACTCAGCAACCGAGAGAGCCAAGAAGTGCCCCCTCCCCATTTTAAGGGTTCAGGCACAGACTCCTGCTTTTAGAGGGGTGCTGGAATACAATCCTTTCTGATTCTAAGGCTAGACAACTCTGTAAGCGGTGGACTTGTTAGCCTGCCCTATAGAATGAGACCTTACATATTCTGGAGCAGAACTGAGGAAATAAGACCACATATTTGCTGACTATAGCTAAGAAAGATAGGATGAAAAGGAAAGTATTTCAAGTTGGGGGTCTGAAGGCTATTCCCCAAAAGGCCAGCAGTGAGTAGGAACAACGGCGCAGTCTTGGGCTCCTCCACTCACCCAAATCTTCATCTAGCTTCGTCTTCGGGGGCTCCCACGGAGGCCGAGCAGCTTTGGCCTTCTGTTGCCGGTTCCCCAGCTCCTCCTCAAATTTGTCATATAAGTCACGGAGCCTACTCGTTCCAACGACAGTAGAATCTCCCTGAATAAGGAAAGGAGCAATGGGAGAAGCCATATTAAAAACCGCCATACTAAGAAGAACCTTTAACTACAAAACGCCATTTTTAAAGCCCCAATGCAATCAGTATTTGAAAAGGAAAAGGCCACACACCGGGGGTGAGCCTCTGGGCCAAACACACTGCTTGCCTGGCAGTTCAGGTAAACGGCTTTCACCAACACAGAGCAGCACGGGAACTATTTGCCGATGCCCATTAGATGTGACATTAAAAAATACTATGACCCTTGGAGCAAAAGAAAGTCCCCTCCCGCCCTTCCTGCCACAAGCACAGGGCTCCTAAAACACAGTCCAAGAGGAAGTCCTCTGCGGCTACCCACTCTCCTTCCAGAACGAAAATCCCTCTAAACGCCCAGACCTTTTGACCTAATAACCTCAAAATGTAAAAAGCAGACCTTTCATATATAAAAATAAACCTAAGGCAAATCAATCATCGGCCCCTCAGAAGGAGAAGTGACTGCTTCTCCTCAGCCCCGCCCCCTCGACAGCTCTGGCGTTCTTACCACCTTGCCTGGGTGCTTTGTCTCTAACCGGTGCCCTGGAGGGCAGAGGAGGGCGGCGGAGTTAGAGACAGTTGTGAACTGCCACATGAGTGCTGGGATCGGACCTGGAGCCTCGGCATGAGCACCCGGGGCTTTCACACTAGGCCATCTCTCCAGCCCGCTCCCTTTGCTTACACCGTTCGAGGGAGATGACCAGGAGGGAAGCTGCCCAGACACCTGCAGTCTGGCATTTGCCGTTGAATCCTATTGTCTCCGGCAGAGAAGGTGGTAAGGATGTCAGAGCCGCCATGGCAGCGTCCTCGGAATGGGGAGAAATACAAACGGCTACCAAGAGTGAGGAACCCACAGGAACCACGGTAAGCAATGAAACCAGAACCTCTGCTCAATAGCCACAAAGAACAAAAGAATTTAATGAATGAGAAAACATTTTCTCTAGCGCTCCAGAAAGAACCTACTACCTTTCTGACACCTTGATTTAGCCAATGAGATCCAAGCTTAACTTCTGGGCCCTGGAGCTACGAAATGATAAACACTTGCTTTTGAAGCCACCCAGCTGATAAAGCTTTGTTACGGCCGAAATGGCAAACATAACCCACGGAGACAAGTGGTACAGCTCTGGCAGAGGTGAAAGGGGAACCGGGGCAAGGCCCATGCCCTGTGCATCCTATATGCAGACATAGGTAAGAACACAATGCCTACCCAGTACAACTCCAGAACTGTGGAGGATTAAGACAACCTCAGAGTGCTAGCCCTGAGCCCTCGACACACCTTCTTATAAGAAAACTAAACCCAACTCACTCAAGTAGCAGTATTTCTTACGGCAGCCAGCCTCGCTAACAGAACACTGACTTCCTGCCGCAGAGATTGTACGACTAATTAGGACATTGGAACTACAAAATAAAATGTCAGCACCATGAAAGTGCTCAGCACAGGCACCTTCCCTTTGCTACGTAACAGGAACTAGCTGACTTAAAAGCCTGCTCCAGTTTATCAAGTATCATACCACTACCATGGAGTCCTCAAACCCTTCTCTTCCAAAAACAAGGAAATCTTTCAAGGTCCCCAGAGAAGGGTCCCAATAGGAGGAACTGAGCGTCCAAAAACAATGCATATCCAGTAGAAGCTGTACTTCAGGGCCAGCAAGATGGCTTGGCAGGTAAAGGCGCTTGCTGCCGAGCCCGACAACCTGAGTTCAATCCCATAACCTTCCTGGTGGATAAAGGGAACCAATACCACAAGCTGTCCTGTGATCACACACACATGCTCACTCACACACACGTGCACACACACACACACACACACACACACACACACACACGCTCACTCACACACACATACAAAATAAACAAATGTTTACAAAACTGTACTTCAGAGTTGTGGTTTTAATCTTTTCCTGTATGGTCCTCTCTTGAGATGCTGGGCGGTGACTGTGAGATGTAACTTTCAGGCAGCCACGCCATTATGACAAGGTACAACCCATATTCTATTTCATACTATGCTGCCAGGATTTCAAAACTTTCCATGAGCTACTCAATACTTTGTAAGACGACAGAAGATGATTTTTGTCCAACTACAGAATAGAACCTAAGTGCTCTGTGCACACTTATAGCAGAGTAGGGTTACTATGACATTTGGTAGGTGTATTAAATATATCTTGGACTTAAGACATTTTCAACTTATCATGGTGTTACTGAGATGTAGCCCTGTCCTAAGTCAAAGAGCATCTCTGTTTTCACAGAACCCCCAACAGCAGAACCCCATCTTACCTAACCTCATGCACTAAATCTCACATGGCCAACTTCTTGGGCCCTAAATCTGTAGGACTCATTCATTTCACTAATGAACCTTGTATCAAGTATTTGATATGAACTTAATTTATAATTAATGGGGTTGGCACAATCCTTACAGGGAAGAAAAGGAAACAAGAAAGAGGATGAAAGAAAACAGTGAAGATGAAGGAAAATGAAGAAGAGTAAGTGTGTGGAGGGCTGAGGCCACCACACAACGGCAGTGCCCATGGCTAAGACCTACAGGAGCACATCCCAAGGACTATGCACATGGAGTCCCCTCTATGGCCTAGGAAAGCGAACAGAATGGCTTCCCCTCCCCAAATCAACCAAGATGTGCTGGAAACTTCCTATGGCTAGTGATCTTTCGGTCAAGACCTTTTGGTATATATATACACACACCTCAAAATGAAACTCAAATCCTTTACCTCCCATTTGAGGAAACACACACACACACACACACACACACACACACACACACACACACACACACGCACGCGTGCGCGCGCGCTCGCACATGCACGCCACCATAGACTAGTTGTAGGTTAGAGGTCACAAAAATGCCAGTATGAAGATCATTAGCATCACAGAATGTAGAATCCTTATGTACGTACTAACTAGACTCTTAGCCTTTGGCATCTTTAAAACACCGTTTCTCTGCAATAGTGATTCTCACCTTGGGGTGGTTCCCCTCAGGGAACACTGTGGTTTGAATGAGAGATGGCCCCCATAGGCTCAGGTAGAAACACTTGGTCCTCAAACAGTGCTGCTGTTTGGGGAAGTTACAGAACCTTTAAGAGGTAGAGACTAGCTAGAGAAGAATATCTCTGGGGTAGGCTTTGAGTGTTTACACCCTCACACTGCCTCCAGCTCTTGCTCTTCACTTCCTACATGCCACCGTGATGTGATCTTGTTCTACACCACACCATCCTGAGGCGCCCGATGTTGTCTGGTCTCAGAAGACAGGCAGGCAGGGACCTGGTGAGTACTGACTGCCTGTCCTCAGCTTCTTGCTGCAGCCAGCTGCTGCCATGCCAGGTGGGTCCCTGCTATGTCGGACTCCAACCCCCTGGAACCACAAGCCAAATACCTTTCTCCTTTAAGCTGTCTCTGGTCGTGCTACTTTACCACGGCATCAGAAAACTGACACCGGGCACAGGTGGCACATTGGAAGACACCTTTGGTTCTCACCACTGGGGAAGGGTGCTACCAGGACCCAACAGGACCGACAGATGCTGCTTACACAATACAATACAGAGGCGACAACATAATACACAGGCAACGCCCACAAAGAATTATCTGCAAAGGCCACCAGGGCGGGGCTGGGGAAACCCTAGTGGGTACGGCCTCGGCCTCAGACCTACCACCTGATCCATGGGGTCGCTGGAGTAATAGCTCTCCGAATGTGTACAGCGAATCCACACAGGTTTGAGCAGCTCCTCCTCCTCCTCCTCCTCGTTTCGGTCAGGGGGCGCCTCCTCCGACTCTCTTTCTTTGATGGAAGTGTAGTTCTTCTCTTTGCCAGAGCTCTGGCTATCACTCCACCTGTCTTTCTCCTCCTCCCAACGAGCTCTCTTCTTCTCCCTGCTTGGAGACCGGCTTCTTCAGGGGGGGGGGGGGGGATGAAGAGCTAGTTATTAAAAATAACGCGCCATCATCTCAGCTAGCTGGTGCATTTTCCACCTACATGCCAATGCCATGCCAATGCCATGCCAATGCCATGCCAATACACCACACCAACTTTCACTACATCAGTGATTCCCAAATGCCAGCCTGCTAGCATCAGAATCGCCTGGTTTGTTTAAAAATACAAATTCCCAGGCCCTACCCCAGATTTACTTACTGATTCGCAACCTCCGGGGGTGGGGCCCAAGAATCTGTATTTTTAATACTCTCCCCAGGTGATTCTGGTGCGCATCCGGCGGGTTCAGGAGTAACTGGTAAACCATAGCTCCTAGGAAAAAAAGATACTCAGAAAATATCTGGAAATTGTTGGGAGCCATGCAGCCTAGTCTCGGATCAGCGTGTGACTACCTGTCCATCTGGTTTCCTCAGGACAAGGCACTTGTGGAAACAGACTCTCACTTGGCAAGGACCATTATGGGACAGCGTAGGAATCTGCAAAATTCGTGCCGCTTTCAGACTCTTTTCTCTCTCATTATTGGTGATTCTCTGGGCAGTTTTTAGTTTTACTTCATCAGTCACACAGGCAACAGCTGTAATTTTCCCTGGAAATTCTGTTCCTTTTCAAATACTTTCCCCTAAGATTCAGTAGGCGGCTAATGTTTCTTAAATCTCTTATCTGCGATTACTAACTGCAACTCCCAATCCTGGGCACTTTTCTGACTCAACAGAGATAGTTAGGTACATAGGAGAAAACAACACTTGGAACATTCACCATGCCTCACAGTTCTGGAGAGGAGAGTAAGGTGTGCATACACAGAATAGGGAAAAGCCTCAGGAATACACATAGTGCCAACTGTTGAGAGTAAGTTCCCCGGACACTAAGCATAGAGTCATGGCAGGATCTGGTCTGCTCCAAGAGAGAAAAATACAATAAAAATGTGGGATGGATAGATCCATCTTTACCACACACAGGAGCTTATATTGGTGGGAGAAGTATGGTGTAGAGAGATGGGAAGAGTGCTTTGTCAAAGTCTGCCTTTTACAGAAGACTGAGACACGGGACCCTCTTGTAGAAAAAGGCACTGTAGAGAAATATATCTTGCGGACATGAAAGAACTGTCTGGGATTGAATATTGTCCTTAAAGCATTGTGCCCACGCCCATTACTTTTTAACTTTGTAACCACAAGTAGCTGCCAGCTGACGTGGGCTGAGAGCAGGGTGTGTCTGGCTCGGTATTTAGTGAAGCTGCAAAAACGCTGACCTCTGTGTCTAGAATAATATGGAGCGGTGGGAAGGTGTGTTGGGAAGTATAAAGAGGAACAATGGGGGCTTTCATAATGATCACATGTATTCCTTAAACTGTGATGCATTTCTTTTTTTTTTAAGGAGAGGGTCCCCCTTTTTTGTTTTTATTTTATGTGTATTGGTGTCCCATCTGTATGTATATCTGTGTGTGGAATGTCATATCCCTTGGAACTGGAGTTACAGACGGGTCTGGGGAGCTGGCATTGGCCGACAGTTGTGAGCTACCATGTGGGTACTGAGAATTGAACCTGGGTCCTCTTTAGGAGCAGCAGCCAGTGTTCTTAAGCTCTGAGCTATCTCTCCAGCCCCGTGATGTATTTCTTAAAGTCAAAAATAGAAGCCAATAATACAGCTGTTCATGTAACCCTGGTTAAAAAAAAAACAAAAACAAAACTCTGTTTAAGTATAAATAAAGACGGCCTGAGCTATTGGGGCCACGTGGGTACAATCCACTTGGTGGTCAGCTGATGCCCTTGCCCACCTCAGAACCTGAACCCGAGTCAAGGCTGGACCCCGGCAGAAAATCTCTACTTGCGGACAATTTCATCAATGAAGATTCTAGTTTTGAATCTTTCACATACTGTTTTGCCAAAGAAAAATTTAAGCTTCCTAAAAATGAATGCATGCAGCCTGACAAGTAATCTGCGCAAAGCGACACTCACACTCATAAAGACAGACTTGAGTGTTGCTACTCAATCAAAACTGTGCCTAATTTTGACCCTCAAAATATTCATATCAACTTAGCTAATGAAGAAGGTAAGAAATCTACTATCCTTGAATTATTGGGGCTTAAAATATATGAAGATTAATCCTATGGATGTACTTGGAGGCAAAAGATCTAGAGTAGATTCTAACTTAAGCCTATTAAATTTAGACAAAACCTAAAAAATCCTTCAAAGAGACAGCTAATAAGAATAGCCACATTATTAAACCAGTGGTCACCCCACTGTCCACTGATAAAGTTACTTCTACCCAAGAAAGCTGAGACCGGCATGGTGACTCATGGCTGTCATCTCAGCACCTCGGAGGCAAAGATGCGAAGACTGCTGTAAACTCTAGACTTCCTGACACACAGTGAGCTCCATGCCAGCCTGCAAACAGATCTGAGACCCTGCCTTGAAAAATTTCTGTAACTTCTAAACACACATATTACAGCACGCATCATTCGTTTTGTTACCAAAAACCAAAAAGCTCTAGTCAAAATAAAACCAATGGGATCACGAGATTGTTGTGGGTTATCTTAACATGTAAAGCTGTTACATTTGTGTATGTTGCAGAGTATTATTTTAACAGTGTAAAGGTGTGTTATATTTGTTTCTGCAGCCTTCGTTAATGATGTAAAGACGTGTTACATTTCTTTATGCTGTATTTGTTTAATGATGTAAAGATGTGTTGCTGTTTGCCTTGCCTGCCTAAGGCACCTGACTGGTCTAATAAAAAGCTGACCGGTCAACAGCTGGGCAGAGGAGGGACAGGCGGGGCTGGCAGGCAGAGAGAATGAGCAGGAGGAGGAATTTAGGCTGGGAAGAAGAGAAGAAGAGAGGAGAGGACAAGGGGCTGGGGAGACGGCCCAGCAGTTAGGAGCACTTGCTGCTCTTGCAGAGGATCTGGGTTCAGTTGCCAGCAGCCACATGGTGGTTTACAACCATCCCTAACTCCAGTTCCAGATCTGTTCCCCTTCTGACCTCTGCAGACACTATCTATGCACACATATGATGCACATACATACATGGATGCAAAACATTCACATGAAATAAAATGAACATATCTAATAAAAATTTTTAAAAAAGAAGAGAGAATGAGGAAGAAAGAGAGGAAGATGCTGGGAGCCAGCCAGGCAGCAGACACAGAGTAGAACACACAGAAAAAAGGTAAAAAGCCCCGAGGAAAAACATAGATGAAGAGAAACAGGATAATTTGAATTAAAGGGGAAAACAAAAAAAAAAGCCAGAAACCAGCCTAAGCTAAGGCCAAGCACTCGTCTCTGTGTCGTGATCTGGGAAGTAGCTGGTGGCCCGGAAGAAAAAGCCTGGTACATGAGATAGTGCGCAACAACTAAAGACGCTGATTGTCTGACAAGCAGAATCCCCGGATCCTACAGGACGAAAGGAGAGGAAACACTGTCCAAACACTGTCTCCTGACCTCTCCACACGCACGGGCACACTCACACACGAACGCACACACGTGTGCACACACACACACTAGTACATAAATAAAATGTGGGTGCACTGTAGGAGAAGAAAGCACAGCCTGGGTTTATTGGCATATGCCTAAAACCCAGCACTCAGGAAGCAGAGGGAGGAATGCTGCTGAAAGTTTGAGCCAGACTCATCTCCATAGCAAGTTTTAGACCAGACACAGCTAGCTACATGGAGAGACCCTGTCTAAATAACAACAAAAATAAATAAAAAATAAAAATAAAAAGCAAAGAAAGATAAAGCATAAACACATAACAAAAAAATATCCACACCTGCATAGATAACAATCATAGTCCATGAATGTTTGTAAATATTCCTAATCAGGAATATGTTCTATTTTAACACACCTATATCTGAGTCATTTTTTACAGGGTCCATTCTGTTTTTGCTTTCTATTCTTTGGAGGCTGGGTCTCATGTAGCCCAGGCTGGCCCCAGACTTACTTTGTAGCTGAGGTTAGCTTTGAGTTCCTGATCTTCCTGCTTCCACCTCAGAAGTGCTGGGATTACAGGGTGACCTAGCACTGGATTTTAATCTCTCATGTAGAGACCGTCATTTAACAACTCTGACACTGGTCGTGCGGGTTAACATTTCCCTGCTGAGAACACCATCGTGTTTTCTTTACTTGTTTGTCACAGCGGTCACCACCGTGTAGGTGCTGGTTTTCAGTCTTGTCCCCGTAACCTAGCACCAATTTAAGCTACCATCAAAAACACTTGCAAGTTCTCATCTCCACACATCTCATCAAAACAGTTCTTTTGAAATCTTTGCCATTCTAATGAAGTAAATTAATTCACAATTTCTTACTAACTAAATCTTATCTGGTAAATGCATACGTATATATGATGCATTCTGATTACTTCCTACCCTCTCTTATAAAAACTATGGAGTGCTCCATGAGTTTACATGTCCTTCTTGCATAGGGGCCATAATCTCTGTAACATTCCAGTTCTTTTGGCATCTGAGCTGCTGAAGCAAGCAGACTTGGTATCACCAATGACATGACAACAGTTCATGTCACTTTTTTTTTTTTTAAGATTTATTTATTATGTATACAGTGTATTCTACTTGTACGTATTCCTGCACATCAGAAGAGGGCACCAGATCTCATTACAGATGGTTGTGAGCCATCATGTGGTTGCTGGGAATTGAACTCAAGACCTCTGGAAGAGCATCCAATGCTCTTAACCTCTGAGCCATCTCTCCAGCCTCATGTCACTTCTTTTGAGAACACTCTGGTCATAACGTTATTGCCCCAGACTGAACTCATTTTCTTATCTTTCCTCATATCTCCCCCACTCACAATAAGGAAATTGGAGATAGAGGTTTGCCACAGGATGAGAACCATTGATCTAGACCATCAGACTCACTTCTGCTGCAGATTAGTACAGAAGCCTTCACAGCTGATTTCCTGACATCCCCAGCTGACTTTCTAAGAGCATTTCTCTACACTAAGACCTTCGCACACGCTCTTCTCGCTTCCCCTACAGTCCTGGTTACCTATTCTACTTCAGACATTGGTAAGATTTCTCTGCGTCTACTCCATACTAGATCTTTCACTACTGGGTTCCTCAAAGTTGACTCCTCCTGTGTCAGCCTCCCAAATGTTGGGACAATGAATTGTGAGTCACCACACTCAGCTTCTGAAACCCTATTTTCTGCTTTTCTTACTTACTATCTGTGGTAGTTTGAATGTAATCCCTATAATCTCACAGGGATGGCACTATTAGTAGGTGTGTCTTTGGAGTGGATATGGCCTTGTTGGAGGAAGTGTGTCCCTGTGGGGGCAGGCTCTGAGGTTTCTTATGCTCAGGATACTACCCAGTGTCTCAGTTAACTTCCTGTTACCTTCGGGTCAAGATGTATCCAGCACCATGAGTGCCTGTATACTACCAGACTCCCTGCCATGATGATAATGGACTGAACCTCTGAACTGTAAACCACCACTTCAATGAACTGTTTTCCTTTATAAGAGCTGCCATGATCATGGTGTCTCTTCATAGCAATAGAAACCCTAACTAAAACACTACCTATTTCTAAAGTCAAGTGCTCGCATAATCATATATAGTTACCATTCATTTGGTACTTATTTTAGGGTTGGTTCTAAGTGTTTAATGTGTATTATTTCCGTGACACTTCACCAGTCAATAAGGAAAATCGAACTCTCTTATTTTACCTCCAACCTGTCCAACTCCAGGACCACTCTTAGATGTGGTCCTAAGACCACAGATTTAAACATAGAAATGATGTTTTAAACTGTAGCAATCACAATCGTGGTGTCTGTTTGCTAACGGGGGCATAAACTGAACACTTTGCTCTTTTTTTTTTTCTGAAACAAGTAAATTTAAGAACATAATTATGAATAATTTTTTTTAATCTAGACTTATTAGTCCATAGTTTTATTGCACTGTGGATGGATTGTATACATACATACATACATACATACATACATACACACTTTCTAATTTGGAGACACTTATCAAGATCATCAAATTCCGTATTAATGTTGGGCTTCTGATTTTCCAGGCCACCCTGGCCAGAGCTGAAATGAAGACTTGGCAGACAGCGGCACATACACAGAAATCGGAATTCTGATAGCGACTCCGACACCTGCTTACCTTCCAGACCTCTTATACTCTTTTTTGTAGGACCTTTCTGGAGATGGCGACCTGCGGTTGTCCCGATGCCTGTGTCTCTCTCGTTCCCGCTCTCTTAGAAGAAATAACACACACAGCTGTTTTCAGCAAAGACTCACAACACCATCTCTGCACTGAACTTTCCTCTGAAGAAGTAGCCTGTGGCTAAGAAAATTCTAGGTGCTATTCCTACTACACCTCCTCGTTTTACTAGAGGGACAGACAGTCTCTACACAGGCTGTTTTCCAAGTCATCACTAAGTGCTAAACGGAAGTCTACCTAAGACTTCTTAAGACCTAACGACCTAACCCTACAGCAAAAGCATTCAAGGACTCCCTTACCCACTGATTTCTAGAAAACTCTATTTCCTTAACAAATAAATGCAGACTAAAATTCGTATAGCCAAGATTAGAACAAGAGATTTTGTTTTGTAGACCAGGCTGGCCTCGAACAGGACATTCACGTGCCTCTGCCTCCCAAGTGCTGGGATTAAGAGTGTACCACCACCACCCAACTTACATTGTTTTTCTTTACAATTAACTTACTTCTTCTCAGTCTCTCTTCTAAAATGTCTACATCATGGGTTTTTTTTGTTGTTGTTGTTTTTTTTTAACAAATCAACGTACATGCCAAGTGACGGTGGCAGTGGTGGCACATGCATTTAAATTTAATCCCAGCACTCTGTAGGCAGAAGCAGACGAATCTCTGAGTTCGAGGCCAGCCTGGTCTACTGAACGAGTTCCAGGACAGCCAGAGCTACACAAAGAAACCCTGTCTCAAAGAACCAAAAAAAAAAAAAAAAAAAAGTTGACAAGTTTTTGTGGGTCTGCCGGCAGATGATAGAAACTGGCCGTGCCTGTGCCTGTGGCTTTACTAAGGACTCTCCATGCGGGTGTACCTGCTCCTATCGTAGCTGCGGTGGCGGGACGGCGATCTCCCCCGCTCATACTCTGACCGGTAGCGGCTGTCCGGTCTTCTCCTCTCAGGGCTGCGGCCTCGCTCGCGGCGCTCCAGGGACCGATGCCTCTCACCGCGCCCGTGGCTGTGATCCCGGTGCCGGTGGTCATCATAGTGCTTAGGCCTTTCTGGGGACCGCCTCTCACTCTGAGCCTTTGGGAGTGGGTACGGAGGGAGGTGTCTAAAGTGAGGGCTACTGCTGTTGTTGGCGCTGGGCGGGAAAGAACTGGAGTTGTTCTGGAAACTGTTGAAATTGGGAGGCGGGAAACTGTTCGAGTATCCAGGAGGGTACTGGTAATTAACCTGCTGGGGCATGACCGGAGGGGGCGGGGGGTGCGGCATGGAAGGCGGGGGCACCATGTAGGGGTAAGTGCCTTGTCCGGACGGTGTTCCAGAGACGGGTGGGTTATTAGGGCAAGGCATTGGCGGGGGCATGGGTGGGAAACAGGGCGGAGCTGGGAAAGGGTGTCTCATCTGGTGGTTGGGGAAAGGGGGCCTGACTGGGCAGGGCGGGACGGGGCCTTGGGCTGACGGCGGCATGGGTGGAGGGTAGGGTACAAAGTCCGGTCGCGGAGGCATGTAGTTGGGAGCTTGGGAGTTCGAGTACGTGGTGGAAGGGGCACTTGGAGGCTCATATTGATATTGCGCAGGAGGCTGCTGAGGATGAAGGAGTCTCAGGTTTTGGGGCCTGAAAGCTGGTGCTGAGGGTCGGGCTCCATGTCCTCCTCGTCCTCGGGGACACCCTCGTCCTGGGTGGAACGACATTCTGTGACTTTTTAGAGAGAAGGAAAAGAGAAATCAAAACATGGGCCTCACCAAGATCCACATCATGGAAAGAGAGAAATGACGCCTGCAAGTTGTCCTGTGACCTGCACACACGCACAACAAATCGAATGGAATTTTGAAGTAATTTTGTAAAAAAAAAAAAAAAAAAAAAACCTTAGGGGATGCAGGCAGTGGTGGCGCACACCTTTATTCCCAGCGCTCAGGAGGGAGAGGCAGGAGGATCTCTAAATTCATGCCAGGCCTGGTCTACAAGAATGAGTTACACGGGGTGGTGGCGCACACCTTTAATTCCAGCACTTGGGAGGCAGAGCCAGGCGGATCTCTGTGAGTTCGAGGCCAGCCTGGGCTACAGAGTGAGTTCCATGGCAGGCTCCAAAGCTACACAGGGAAACCCTGTCTCGAAAAAAAAAAAAAAAAAAAAAGAGTTCCAGGACAGTTAGGGCTACACAGAGAAGCCCTGTCTTGAAAAAGAAGGGGGAAAAAAAGCCTCTCGGAATAGGGAGAATATAAAGACCTGAGTTCGAGCCCCAGAACAAATAAAAAAGCCAAATATGGTGAATGTGCTTTTAATCCCAGAGCTGGGAAGGCAGGGACAGGTGGATTCCTGAGGGCCCCTGGCCAGTCATACAGTGAGAGAACCGATCTCAAAAAATAAAGTGGATGGCACCTGAGGAAAGAAACGACACCCAAGGTTTGTCCTCTGCATGCATCTATGTGGACCACACACGTCACTACGTAAACAGGGTTTCCCAAATACGGGACTGTCCTGATGAGCGCTGTGGGGGTGTGAATGAAAATGGCCCCCACAGACTCATAGGGAGTGGCATTCTTGTTGGGGAAAGTGTGTCACAGAGGGTGGGGCTTTGAGGGTTCAGAACAGATGCTGTATCAACTTACGGAACTTGTCTGCATCCAATCCCATCCCCGATTTCCTGCTCCCAGCAAAGCTTACCTTACCACAAGCACCTAGAGCCCCATCTCCAAAAACTAGGGGGCCGCTACCCCCATCCACCATTTCCCATCTTTCCCGGCCGGCCACCAGACCCTGGACACCAGCACTTGAGTGTCCAGTCTACTCAACATAAAACACTTGCCTTGGCCTCCAGTTCGCCCTCAACTATGCATTTTCCCCTCTTCTTCACATTTAAACTTCCTGAAAATGCTACTATAGATTAAACATTTTTGCTTCCTCAAAATTCTTAAATTCCTATGTGGTGACACATGGAGGAAGTAACCAGGATTAAAGTAAGTCACAGGTATTTACTAAAGTAAGTCCTAAGCATGGTGGTTTGAATGAGAACGTCCCCCATATGTTCATATATTTGAAGCCTTAGTCCCCAGTTAGTGGAACTGATTGGGAAGGATTAGGAGGTGTGGCCTTGTTAAAGGAGCAGTGTCACTGAGGGTGGGCTTTGAGGTTTCAAAAGCCCACACCAGGCCCAGAGTCAGTCTCTCTGTCTGTCTGTGTCTGTCTGTCTGTCTGTCTCTCTCTGTCTGTCTCTCTCTGTCTGTCTCTCTCTCTCTCTCTCTGTCTCCTTGCCCCCCTGCTTGTGGTTCAGCCTGCCTGTCAGCCACCACACTTCCTGCCATGATGATCATGGACTAACCCTCTGAAACTCTAAGCAAGCTCCCAATCAAATACTTTCTCTTACAAAAATTGCCTTATTTATGGTGTCTCTTCACAGCTGGGTGTTCTAATAATGGGATTAGTACTCTTATGAAAAAGGAAGAGAGAGAACCCTGTCTCTACCTGGTGAGGAATGATACAGCAAGAAAGCCACCTGAACACCACACAGTAATCTTCACCATGAAAGTGCACCTGAAACCTGACCATGCTGGCACCTGATAAATGCATATACAAGCAGGATTAGTGCCAGGACCTTTATCTCTAGTTGCTGAGAAACAATATGCTCAACTCCCTTTCCAACAAATATCATTTGTTGGACATCAATGCCTACACAAGGGAATCATCCTGAAAACTTTTTCTCCCTTACCCCATTTAACTAAAACTTTATTTTTAAACTGACATCATGTATGTGTCACTACAGCTTAATAAATAAGGTTTTGTTTTGTTTTGTTGAGATATAGTCTCATTCTGCAACCCTGGCTTGCTTGAAAACTCAATACAGAGCAGGTTGGATTGGAACTCACAGAGATCAGCCCTCCTCTGCCTCCCAAATGCTAGAATTAAAGGCGTGTACCAACAATATTTTTTAAAAAATAAAACTCCTATCTTTTTTTTTTGTAAATACTCCCTGAGTACTTCCTTACTTAACTACAATTATATTCTTGCTGAACTTTCAACATCCTTATCACCACACATAAGTCTTCTGTGATAGCTATTCTTGGTTGTCAACTTGACTACATCTGGAACTAAAAACTCAAAAATGGACGCCATGCTTGTGAGGGATTTTTAGTTAATTTGACGTAAGAAGATCCACTTCTGATCCAGACCTTTGAGGTAGGAAGACACATCTTTAATCCAGATCTGTAATCCAGATGTAATGTGGGTCATACTTTCTGCTAGAAGTTTATATATATTAGGACATGGAAGAAGGAAGCTTTTGCTCTTAGCCTGCTTGTCCTCGCCTTGCTAGCAAGCCCACTGGCATGAGAGCCTACTTCTTCGGGATTCCAGGATAGACTGAAGACCAGCTGAGACATCCAGCCTTGTGGACTGAGCAACTACTGGATTCTTGGACTTTTCATTCACAGCCAGCCAGTGTTGGATTACCTGGGCATCCAGTCTGTAAGTCATTCTAATAAATCTCTTTCTGTATATACCAATTCATTCTGTAAATTCTTTAACTCTAGAGAACACCGGCTAACACGTCTTCCTTAGATTTCCTGCTCTTACAATATTCGATGCTGCTTCTTAGCAGGTCTTACAAGCACCGCAGTCCACCAACTAATTATATAATTCTACCTTCAATGCCTACCTGCAGTCAAAAACTGCAAGCTCACTCAGGGGACGGCTCTAGGATGTTTCACTCACGCTCCTGGTCTGGTTCTTAGCCCTGCACACAAACCTCTAATGTGCTGTGACCATAGAATGAACACATCCCTGCCCTTCCCCTCTATCGGAAAGGTTCCCACCTCTGGCCCACCACCTACCCTCTCTTCTTCAGTCTTCCTGAACTGCCATTTCCAGCATACCACTTACCACGTATTGCCTTGCATGGTGATGTATCCTCTAGAAACGCTCCATCTCCCACTCAGAATGTACGCTCTACAAGACAGAAAGAATATTTAAACATGTTTTCAAAACTGCCAGTGCTATAAAGTAGAGTTGTTTTTTTGTTTGTTTGTTTGGTTGGTTTTTTTTGCTTGTTTGTTTACAATTATCTTAACAATAATTTTAAACCCTTAGCCGGTGGCGGTGGTACACGCCTCTAATCCCAATACTTACGAGGCAGAGACAGGCAGATCTCTGTGAGTTCAAGGCCAGCCTGCCTGGTCTACAGAGCAAGATCCAGGCCAGGCACTAAAACTACACAGAGAAACCCTGTCTCAAAAAACAAAAAAAAAAAAATTTTTTTTAAGCCCTTGAAAATGCTTAGCCTATTAACAAAATCAGGAACAACTATCAAGTTTCCAAGCAACTTTCAAGCTGTCCTGATTAGTTGTACTAACTCAAAACTAACTATTGCTAAACTGACCAGAAGCACAGCCACCTCCCATCTCTGGTTTGGTAAAAGATTGAAGGAAAGGTTTTCTCTGTCACTCACACTCCCTCCACTGTAATATAAAGAAGGCATAAATCCAACCCAAAAATCACAGTGAAACCTGCACTCAAATTCAAATATACCCACAACCTAACACAAGTTACATTATTTACTTTCATTCTCCGCTCTTCCCACAGAAGAACACTGTCAAATAAATGACTTTTGAAATATTTGAACTTTAACAAAAAGCTTTAAAAAACACACACACAAACACTAAATGCCAAAAGCTTTAATGTAGAACCATCTTTCTAGGGGCGGAGAATAGCTCAGCAGTTAAGAGCACCTGCTGCTCTTGAAGAGTTCAGTTCCCAGCACCAATGTTGGGTGGCTCACAATCACCAGGAGATACCACGCCCTCTTCTGGCCTCTGGAAGCACCTGCACACTTGTCTACATACAAATAGGTAGAATCTCTACATACAAACTGAGGGAATCCTGGAAATAGAAATTCTGACTAAACCAACAGGAACTACAGGCGCAAGCATAACCAACCGACTGCAAGAGATGGAACAGAGAATCTCTGACGCTGAAGAAACAATAGAGAAAATAGATTCATCAATCAAAGAAAACACTCATGCCAAAAAAGTTGTAACACAAAACATCCAAGAAATTTGAGATACCAAGAAAAGACCAAACCTAAGAATAATAGGGATAGAAGAATACCAACTCAAAGGCACAGAAAATATATTCAACAAAGTCATAAAAGAAAACTTTCCTAACATAGAGAAAAAAATACCTATGAAGATTCAAGAAGCTTACAGAACACCAAATAGGCTGAATCCAAAAAAAAAAGTCCTCTCGCCAAATGTAGACCAGTGGGGTTCTCAACCTTCATAATGTAGACCTTTAATGCAGTTCCTCATGTTATGGTGACCCTCAACCATAATATTATTTTGTTGACCCCAAGGGGTCACAACCCATAGATTGAGAACCACTGATGTAGACACACTGTGATGGTTATTCTTGGTTGTCAACATAACTATTCCGGGTGCACATCTGTGAGGGATTTATGCTTAATTTGAAGTGGGGGGAGGATCCACTTCTAATCCAGGTCTTTGAAGTAGGAAGACTTACCTTTAATCCAGATCTGTAATCTAAATCTAATCTGGGCCATACCTTCTGCTGTAAGCCTATATAACTTCTGCTTGCTCTTTGCCTGCTTGTTCCTGCCTTGTTAGCAAGTCCATCCCTTCACTGGCATTGGAACCTACTTCTTCAGGGCTCCAGCATATAATGAAAACCAGGTGAAACATCCAGCCTCAAGGACTGAGCAACTACTGGATGCTTGGACTAATAAATCCCCCTTCTTTTTTTTTTTTTTTTTTTTTTTTTGGTTTTTCAAGATAGGGTGTAGTTGTGGTGCCTGCCTCTGCCTCCCAGGGATTAAAAGCATGTGCCACCACCACCTGGCATACATCCCCTTTCTACAGATGTAGTTCTTTAACTATAGAGAACTCTAACACACACACATATATATACACGAACGTATAGATACACATTCACAAAAATAAATAAAATTTTTAAAAAACACTTAAGTCTTTATCAAACTGACAAAGTAAAAAAAAAATTACAAATAACTCGAGCTCTATCAATTACTGTTTAATAAACATAGCTACCAAATAATATGATTAATGATTATTCCTCATTCCAACACTCTCATGATTAAACCAGGGACCCAAAGAGCTACTACTGGCATCAGAATTGAGTGCAAACTCCATGCTCAGCATTTGAAGTTCTAAAAGACCGAAACCCAACCCCTCCCAGGGTTATCATCCTATTTCCTTCTCCACAAAGCCCCTCTCAGCCCATCCTTTCCCCGCCCATTAGCAAACCGAGCACTATCATGAAACTTCTTAGCTCCGACCATCCCTTACTCGTCCACTGAATTCCTACCCATCCACCAACCTCTTACTGAACCTATTCTGAGAAGCAGTCCTGATTTCCTTTGGGAACATAACCTCATCCCTTCTAAACTGCTACTGCCTGGTCTATACTCACTTCTTTTATAGAACTTACCAGCAACTGCCTGTGGCAGTCAGGGGTGCCCATGTTGAGCTCCTTCAATGTCACCAGATCCTTGAAACCATGGGTTCATTCGGTCACTTCTGCACACAATAAACGGCAGGCAGGTTTTACTTTTTGTTTCTGTGTCACTAAGTTTGAATTTCCCTTCTCCCCACAAATGTGCATTATTGAAACCACCCAGGAAGCAGACATTTTCACTGATTCATGCATCATTTACTGAGTCAATCAATACATGTGAGGCACTGTCCCAAACTCTGTAGACTCAAAGATGAACATGGCACACACAAGCCTTCAGGGCTCAAAGATCTCAAAACCCATATACAAATATTTTTATTATAATAATAATAATAATAATAATAAAACCAGCTGGGCAGTGGTGGCGCATGCCTTTAATCCCAGCACTCGGGAGGCAGAGCCAGGCCAATCTCTGTGAGTTCGAGGCCAGCCTGGACTACCAAGTGAGTTCCAGGAAAGGCTCCAAAGCTACACAGAGAAACCCTGTCTCAAAAATAATAATAATAATAAATAAATAAATAAATAAATAAAAAATAAAACCAGACACCACAAAAAGAAAAATTCAACGTGATTAAAAACAAGAAAATAAGGATGTAAAGACTTCAAGATAACAAAAAGGAATATAATGAAGCTAGACAACAGTCAGGCAACAGTCAGGGTAATTAACACCTCTGGATAGTGTAAAAATGGAGTGGGACACTCACTACCAGACCACCCTGGACGTTTCTACAGTCAGAAAAGCTAAAACATACTGAACCAATGTATTGTGGATGCAAAATTTAACTCAAGTCAATGAATTCAATGTAAATGAAAAAATGCCTATTCCTGGGCTGTCATTTGAAAGCAGTAAAACTGAGGGAGCTATTATGAACAGTTGACTAGTCCAGGAACGTCAATCGAACACACAGAGTTGCAAGGTGTGACTACAAGTCACTGAGACTCCGCACTTTGCCATGGTTGAACCCTGAAGCCCGGCCTCCGCCTGGTGGATGCTCAATTGCACGTTCTCTGGTTTGCATCTCCCGCCAGCCTGCGAGGTAAGCGCGGGACTCCGGGACTCGCCTCCCCGGCGGCCCTGGGCCTGGACCATGACTTGTGCTCCACAAACAGATGAAAGGCACCCCATGCCGCTTCTGCATATCTGCGGGATCTGCACCGAGGGTCGCTCTCTCGCCCTCGGCGGCAGATCTGCACCGAAGCGGCCAGACCCAACTCCCAGGATCATTTCGCTCCGCCCTGGACTCCATTGAAATCCCGGCCCTCGATACTCGCTCTCCAAACACCCGCCAAGCGCCCCCGTTTACCTACAGAGAGCCCCCGCGTCGCCGCCGGAGCCAAGCCTGGTTACTACAACAGCCTCCACGGCAAAGGCGCCGCCCGCGCCTCCGGAACAGGAAACCCCGGGAATTAAAAAGCAAACCTGAAAAAGCTGAGCCTAGGGAGGGAAAACTCTCCGGAGAGCGTCGCAGCACCTTTGCGCCGTGATTGGCGGGCCAGCGAGAGTGACGGACATCTAGACCAATCAACACTGCCTATCGCTCTCACACCCGCCCCTCCACCTTGACGCCCTCCAATCCGGAAGCGCAACCGGGTGAGCGCGCGTTTCCGCCGCGAAAGGGCAGCGAAGGGGCGCGGGGCTTGGAGATGCCCGGCGGCTCTCCGGGTTCCTCGGAGTCGCGGCCGCCGGAGTCGCGCGGAGACATGAGTGACACCGGAGGCGACCGCACGCGCCTTAGGCGCTACCCTAGGCTTCCGGTGTGGGTGGTGGAGGATCACCAGGAGGTGAGCGGGCAGCGGAAGCCCCCGAGCCCTGACAGGAGGGATTCGAACCCGCGGCAGCCTGCAGAGGCTTAACCAGCCCCTGAGGCTGGCTGCCCGGTCTCCTGACTACTGTTTGTGCAGTTTGATAAGAGGGTTGGCCAAGAACCTGAACCCTCAGCTGTGAAATGGGCACCATAACCGTAGATCCTATCAGAGGGCGGTTACCGAGGACATTAAGTCCTCGGCGTTGGTGAACGTTTTATGGCACTGCAGTTGTAGCGTGTGTACGGTACGCAGACTTCTGGTAGACGGCCAGCAAGAGGTCCGTGGGTTTGGGAGCTTTGTTTACAGGACCCGTGGAGGGTCTCGGGACATAAAACAAGATGGGTCAAGAGTGAAGCTCGGTGGCACGGTGTTTGCCACGGACCTTGGGTTCAACCCCTCGCCCAGGAAAAAGTGGGGGGAGGGGACTTACTGATGGAAAAAGATGAAGGCGGTAAAGAAAGTTGATTCCTGAGACAAAGTCGACTTTGGGTTGGTCAGGGCTTTCGAAGTTAGGAGGAAACCTGGGCATATAGCGTGTAAGAGGAGAACATGAGTCATCCAGCCTAGCTCCGTCCTAAAAGGACAGAAAATGACCTAAAAGAAAAAAATAGAGTACTTGGAACACGGATAATGATAGAGTGAGTGGTTCTGAGCAGTTGGGTAATAAAGACGGAGATTTTCATCAGAACCATCTAGAGTAAAGAAATTTTGTATTTTTCCACTTTTTAACAACTTGATGCACTTCAAATTTGTGCAGTGATTGATTGATAATTGATTGATTGATTTTGAGTCTGCAACTTGACAGTGTGCAATTCTCAATGTGTATGTCTCTGTTACAGGTTCTGCCTTTCATATACCGGGCCATAGGTTCGAAGCATCTTCCTGCTAGTAATATCAGCTTTTTACATTTTGACTCACATCCAGACCTCCTTATTCCTGTGAATATGCCAGCAGACACTGTGTTTGATAAGGAAGCACTTTTTGGGTAACATGACTTTTTTTAAAAATCATTTTATGTATTTGAAACATAGCATGTAGCAGATGATAAAATATAGACTTTTGCTACACTCATGTGTGTGGGGTTTTTTATTTGTTTGCCTTTTTATTTTGGGTTTGTCTTTTGTTTGTTTGTTTGTTTGTTTTGGGGGTATTGTTTTGTTTTTCAAGACAGGGTTTCTCTGTGTAGCTTTGGAGCCTGTCCTGGAACTTGCTCTATTGACCAGGCTGGCCTCGAACTCACAGAGATCCGCCTGGCTCTGACTCTGCTAGGATTAAAGACAGGCAGTCACAACTGCCCATCACCTTTTTTATTTTGTTTAAGAACAAGTTTTTGACAAACTGAAAGAGCCAAAACAGGGACCAGGCATGGTGGCTGATACCTGCGATCCCAGCCCTTAGAGCACTGAGGCAGGAGAATTACCGTTGGAGGACAGCCAGCGCTACATTGAATATTCTTTATGATTAAGTGTTAACTGTCAACTTGGCAGAATCTAGAATTATCTGAGAAGTGGGCACCCGGGCTTGCCTGTGGGGGATTGTCTTGATTGGATTACGAAAGGGGGGTAGACCCACCCACTGTGAGCAGTGCCCTTCCTGGCTGGGGTCCTGGTCTGTAAAAATGGAGAGAGGGAAGTGAACAGCACTTCCCTGGTCCCTGGTTCCTGTCTCAGGTTCCTGACTATGGATGTGATGTGTTCAGCTGCTTCAAAGTCTTGCTGCCTTGACCTCCTTGCCAAAACCTGCTTTTGTCAAAGTATTTTATCATAGCGACAGGAAAAGGAACTAAGACACTGGTGTGTGTGAGTGGTAATTTAGGTTTCCTGGCACTCTATCCATATCCACCTACTTGTCCCTGCCTTTGTGACATGAAAGCAGTCCTGGACGTTGTGCAAGCAAATGGCAAGAGTTGTTCCAATAAAACTTGACAAAAAAAAATTATAACAAACAGCCAAGCCAGTATTTGATGGCCTCTAATTTAGAATTTGGGATGCTGGAAGAGACTTGCGAAGTAATCTAAATAAGCTTTCCTCCCCTTTTAAAGCTTGGTAGTGGGGTCCAGAAAATAGGACTTTTCTGAAAACAGTCTCATAATCATGCATCTTCAGTTTGCCCATCCTTTCTACGATTATGTCCTTCCTACTTCGCAGTGACTTTATTTTCAGGTCACAAACCCTGTTGATTTTCAGTTTTATAAAATCGTAGAGATGGGGCTGGAGAGATGGCTCGGCAGGTAAGAGCACTTAGGCTTGCAGAGTACCCAAGTGTGGTTCCCAGCACCTGCACTGGGTGGCTCGAGACCACTTTGTGACTGCTCTGAAGGACAGCACCACCTTCTGGCCTCTGCAGGCACCTGAACTCGTGTGCACATTCTGGACACACACATAATGAAGAGTAAGAGAAATCTTAAAAAATAAAGTCAGAGGAATAGAAGTAAAGTGGATAATTCACATTCCATCCTTCAGGAAGGAGTCTATATCTTCAGATAATAGCTCCCTGAAATCCTGTCATCATCTCATGTATAAAGCGTATTACGTTCAGTCTACTATAGACCTTCTAGTTGACTTTTTCCAAAACTCCAAATCAAGGCACTAATTCCTAAAGCAATGTGGTAGTTCCACCATTCCCTCACTTCCTTTCATAGTTTAGAAATTGAAAGAGAGTGCTAAGCATGTAGTCAGACCACACATTAGTTAGAACAGTTCTTAAACTTTTTAGTATCTTGTTTCTTTTTTCTAGTTTTGTGGGGGGTTTTGTTGTTGTTTTGAGATTGGGTTTCATGTAGACCAAGCGGACTTTCAGCTTGTTTTATAGCCAAGGCCAGCCTTGAACCCCTGATCCTCTTGTCTCTACGTCCTCAGTGCAGGGACTGCATGTACATGCCACCAGGCCCAAGTTTCTGCATTCCTGTATACTCTTAAAAAATTAAGCCTTGAAAACAATGTGAATTATAGTTGTGTGTATTTACGTTACAACTAAAAATAAAATTTTCAGATATTCACTGTAAAATATTACATCATTATGTCTGCATAAACAAGTTATTTTTGTTAAAATACATTTTTAAAACTATCACATGGAATTATTTAAATCTTTTAAGATCTAATTTTTGCCTCTATAAATGACACCTGGATTCTCTGATTCTTCATTCAGTCTGTTGCTGTGTGTTGTTTTGGTTGAAGTATATCATGAAAATTCATGTTCTCATAGATGTGATTGGAAAATGGAATAGTATTTCTATCACTTAATCAGATAAGTAGTGTTGTGATGTTCTTTGATCTTCCACCAAAACTCCACAAGCTTCTGAAAGCTTAGCTGGAATGCAAAATCCAACAATCCAGCCTTGTGTCTAAATAACCTCAGTTAATTGATCTTTCAAAGAAGAAATTAACTCAAGTTACACTTCAGCCCCAGGTGTTTCTCCTCGAAGCCACCATTGTGCTTCACGTCTAAACAGAAGGAGTTCTGCTGGTTTCCTTTTTTTTTTTTTTTTTTTTTTTTTTTTTTCGAGACAGGGTTTCTCTGTGTAGCTTTGCGCCTTTCCTGGAGCTCACTTGGTAGCCCAGGCTGGCCTCGAACTCACAAAGATCCGCCTGCCTCTGCCTCCCAAGTGCTGGGATTAAAGGCGTGCGCCACCACGCCCGGCCTGGTTTCCTTTTTTTTTAACTATACAAAATATTTTAAAATATCTAGTTGGGAGCAAGAATTAATAAAACCATGACCATTCTTCAGCAAAACTAGCTTTTGGACAGGGTAATTGCTAGTAATGTTATAATGACTGCTAATGGACCTTGCATGGCACTTAAGTTACCAATCCACCGTCATGCTGTGTATCATCATGCTGTGCACCCTCATGCTTGTGCAAATGTTTGTTCAGTTAAAGGTAATAGTATTTCCGTGAAAACCGTTTTAACCTAATAGTCTCAGGAACCTTGTCAGGGGCCATACTTGAGACCTGCTGTCTTCAAATGTTTGGGAAAAATCATTCATTAATAATTGTAATGTTTCTGATTTTTTTTCCAGAGAATTAAGTATTGAAAATTGGATTATGCCTGCAGTTTATGCTGGCCATTTTTCTCATATAATATGGCTTCATCCCACATGGGCTCAGCAAATCACAGAGGGCAAACACCACTTCTTAGTAGGCAAAGACATTTCTACCACCACAATCAGGTAATTTCTTTATTTTTGGTAAGTATAAAAGGAACTGAATTATACTTTGGATTCTTGTAATAACTTCCTAAATGCCTCCATACAGAGTTACATTAAGCCCCAGCTCCTCCAAAGAGTTCTTGAATCACCAGAAACAGATTTTTAATCCTCTTAATCCCTTTCATGTACTCTTTATATCTATTACTAGCGAAATTGTTTTGTTTTATGACATTTTCTGGAATTTAGATTCATTTTTAATTCTCTTGATCTCTTTCATGTAATCTTATTATCTATTACTAGCAAAATTGTTTTTGTGTTATGACATTTTCTGGAACTTAGATTCTGTTGCTGGCTAACTCTGTCAAGTCCTTATAGTACCTTATAGATTTATATAACCAATGGTACATTTTTTCCCCTGATCCTTCTGATATAAATATAGTGTGTTGAGTTGGACTTTTAGAATGAGCCAGGCAAGGTGAGTGGCACATATCTATAATCACAGCCCTTGAGAGGCTGAGGTAAAAGGATGCTGAAAGTTTGAAGTCAGCCTGAACTACGGAATGAGACCCTGTTTCCAAATGCAAAAATAAGGACTGCAGGTGTAGCTCGGTAGTAGAGCACTTGCCCAATGTGCCTATAGCCCTGAGTTCAATTTCCAGCACTGAAAAAACTTAAAATTTACCTGGGAGTTGTGGCACACACCTGTAATCTCAGCCCTCTGAAGGTAGAGGCAGAAAGGTCTAGGGTTCAAGGTCATCCTCAGTCACATAGTGAGCTTGAGGCCAGCTGAGGCTACATGAGACCCTGTCTCAAACAAACAAATAAATCAGTTTTTGTTTTCATTTTTAATAAGTCGGTGTCTGGATAAGTAGATTTAGGTTGTAAATTCATTGTTGTGATTTTTGGATTTAGTCTAAGTTAAATTACTGTGCCCTCTGATTTGAGCAATATGTATCAGGTTTTTTTGTATATGCTACTTAACCAATATCCTCTGTGTTGTGTTGCTACAGTGTCTGTCTTTGGAAGTAGCAGTCTGGTTCTAAATTCTCCTGGCATAGGAAGAACGTTTTAATCAATGTACACATAGCTTTCTAGGCTCTCAGTGACAATGAAAACTGTGCCCTGTAATTCTGTTTCCGTTTTGATGACAGTGTTACCTTTGGTATTACATGTTTTTGTCATTTATATGAGTGGTGTCATCTTGATGTATGAAAATTGTACTTACTATATAATTTTTAAAAAGAAATTAGACCTCAGCATAGAGCAAATATCATACGTAATATTGATCTATACAAACAAGTGAGTTCAGTGTGTTGAGTGGACCTAACAGAAGCTGTAAAAACAACAGATTTTTGTTGTCGCTGTTACTCACCAGACTCACAACAGCCCTTCTTTGGCCTCCCAAATTCGGGGGTTAAAGGTGTGAACCATCGTGCCAGCTTGATATGGATATATATGTGTGAGAGAGTTTTTCTGTTTTCTATTTTGAGATAATCCTCACTTTATGTTGCCTTGGGTAGCCTAACTCTCTATAGAGACCAGGCTGGCCTTGAACTCACAGAGATGTGTCTTCCTAGTACTGGGATTAAAGAGGTGCACCACCACACCAGGCATGGTTTTGGTTTTCTGAGACAGGGTCTTATTCTGACACAGAACATCACAGATATTTTTGGAAACTCAAAATTTAATAACAGCTTGGGGAATATTATGCTTCCCTCATGATTTAGTTAGCCTAACAAGTAAACATGTTTGAACAGTCTATTGCATGTAGGCATGAATCTGTGTTTATTTATTTGCAGGAATAGAAGCAAAGCAAAATTTGCTTACTAAGAAGAATATGAGGCTTCGGAGAGAGATGAGTTGATAAGGTTCTTACAGTGTAAGCATGAAGACCTGCATTTGATCTCAGAGCCTGCATGAAAAGGCTAGGCATGGTGGCACATGCTTCTAATGCCAGTCCTGAGGAAGCAGAGCCAGGCCGATCTGTATGACTCATAGGCCAGCCAGCATAGCCTACTAGTGAGCTCCAGACCAGCAAAAGCCTCAAGGGCTGCCACCCCGGTTGAGTAGTTTCCACATATACACATTGGCATGCATACCACACACAGACTATAAATTCAGGTTAGGATTACAGTCTTGGTCTTCATTAGGACGTTGCAGTTTTTAACAAGCTTGCACTTTTACTTTTATGTCATTCATCTGCTTTGAAGACTATCTTCTTTTTAATTTATAGCTGTAGGGGCTGCGAGTCGAGCCTCACTTGGGTGTGTGGTTAGTGTGCTTGACCCCAGACTCAACCCCCAGCACGTATGCCAGGTATGTTGGCATGTGCCCATAATGCCTGCACTCAGGAGGTGGAGACAGGAGAGTCAGTAGTTTAGGGACAGTCTAGGCTGTGTGAGACCCAGTCTCAGGTCAATTTAAAGCTATATATATTAAGTGTGGACAGGTGGGGAATAAACTGTATTATTTTCATTTAGTAGAGTATGCCGCTGAAACATGTATTTGAATTTAATGTTCTAAGTACTCACCAAGACATAGTCAAAAAGCTGCAAACATGCTGGTATCAGAAGTCTTACCTACATATTCCTATTGTCCCAGATTCTTGGGAGGCTAAGGCAAGATCACTTGAGCCCTGAAGTTGGATGCCACAATAACCACCTTAGTCACACTCTGTCTCTTTATAAAGAAAAGGAAAAACTAAAACGTCAGGGCTGCAGAGATGACTCAGCAGCGAGAGCACCTAGAGCTTTATCCAGTGACTGGAGTTGGGTCTCAGCACCCATGTCAAGACCCTCTCGAACACCTGTGTCTCCAGTTCCCTTCTGACCTCCATGGGCATCTGCACACTTAGGTACACACACACACACACACACACACACACACACACACACACACACATAGAGTGGCGGGGGAGACACTCAATAAAATAAATCTTTAAAACAGAAATCCAGAACTCATAAACTGAATTTTATATGTGGATCTTTTGAAATTGCTTTTCATGTTAAAAAAAAATACTGTGTTATATACTTTAACTGAAGCTATGAAATAGAACTTCTGTATTTAGAGAAATTATTTCTTATAATTTTTTTCTTAAGAGTTTTTTTTTTTTACATTTTTGAAGACTTATTTGTGTGTGTGTGTGTGCATTTGCCAAAGCATGCTAGAAAGGGGTTGGATACCTTGGAGCTAGGGTTGCAGGTCATTGTAAGCTCTCTCTTATAGGTGCTAAGAAATGAACTCTCGTCCCCTGGAAGGGCAGCAAGTGCTCCTAACCTACCCGCTCTCTCTCCAGCCCTTTCTTTGTTTTCTTATTTGATTAACAATTTCTTTCAGAAAAACTCTTTTTTTTTCTCTCTCTCTCCATGTGCGTGTGCGTGTGTGTGTGTGTAGACCAGGTCCCACTTTGTAGTCCAGCCTGGCCTCATCCTTGCACCAGCCCTTCTATCTTCATGTTCTATGGTCTCTGGAGTCCTCCTGGGCCAATGTGACTTCCCACCTTCATGCTCATGGATGGTCAGCATGATGGGGAGAGCACTGCTCCTGTCACAGTCACTGACCAGAACTTATGAGGTGGCCACAGCTAGCTGCAGGGTGGACTACAAAAACATGCCTAGTCTTTCCTTTGGGCAGTGGTGTGCCAGCTCAGAATGTGGAGAAGCTGTTTCTACTGAAGACCAAGTGCAAGCATTAAAGTCTCTAGTTTTTGTCAGCTGGGTCTTTCTTCTGCAGTGTCGTAGTGTGACGTGGGCTAATGTGCTCTTTCCTTACAATAGTTTTCCCGTTGATCCAGGGTCACCAGTACCGACTATTACTTCCTAAGTGACGGCCTGTTTGTACCTGAAGACCAGCTAGAGAACCAGAAACCCTTACAGTTGGACGTGGTCGTGGTAGAACCTCACAGACTCTGTAACCATCAAGAGGACAGTGACTCTGTGTCTTCTGCCAAGAAGCCCAAGCTGGCACTGGGCAGTCGAGAGAGCGCAGCCGCCGCCGCTAACGGGGACCCCTGCTCAGAAGGACTGCGAGGGGATGCAGTGACCCCACCGAGTGACCGTGCTTGCCCGGAGCCACCAGGCCCCTGTTCCTCTGGAGGCCAGCAGTGCCAGGGCACAGCCAGCACTGGGGAGATCCTGGAAGCGCTGAAGAGTGGAGATGCGTTTGTTCTAGATATTGACTTGGATTTTTTTTCTGTCAAAAATCCCTTCAAAGAAATGTTCACGCAGGTAAATGTGGTAGTTTGGAAGCATAGACCCTGAGAATGGCACGGCGTTTCTCTGGATGACAGAGAGCAACCTCTCCGCAAACATCAGATGAGAATTATCTTCGGTTTAAAGACCATGTTTCCTGCCACATATGCTTCTGTTCTCTTCCAGTCTTTTAAAATTACGTACAAACTTATCATTCCTAATTAAAAATTGCAAAATCTAAATTACTCAAAAACCCAAAACTTCCCTACGTACCGTGATGAAGTGCACCCCCTAAAGTCCCCAGATTTTCCAAAATCTGGAAAACTCTTGGAACTTGATGGAACTTCTGCTTCCAAGCATCTCAGATAAAGATATCCAACCTACATTATACTTTCTAATTTACTAGCAATATTTTTATTGGTCATTACATGAATGCATTAACTTCGGGAGGATGGCGGCTCATGCCACATCGCACATGTGGAAATCAGGACAACTTTCCAAAGTCAGTTTCAAGATCATCAGGGTTGGTGGCAGGCACCAATACCCTCTGAGCCATTTCACTGGCCCAGCTCTATTTTTAAAATAAACAAAGATAACAGGGCAAAGCGTAATGGCACATGCTTGTAATACCAGCACTTGGGAAGAAGATATAGGGATCATAAGTTCAAATCTAGCCTGGGCTATGTGAAACCTTGTCTCAGAAAGCTTCCTAGCTGTGCCATCCTGGGAAAGGTCCTTGTCTTTCTGACTTGCAATGAAGCAGTCATCCCCAGCCTGCTAAGGTGTACCTCAGCAGTAGAGCGCTAGCTTGCTCAGGGTTGTGGGTTCAATCCTCGGTGCTGCAGAGTAGGTACTTAAGTAATGAGTAAGCTCCAGCTCAGTGTTGTCATGGTCGGTGAAACACTACATTTTAGCTCTTACCTAGCACTGGGCCACGTGCAACCACTTAGAAACGGAGCTGTCCAGTTGTGTTTTTAAGAAGGAGTTTGCTTGTTTTATCTCACTTACAAAATCTAGATATGTTAGGCATCTTTCCCTTAACTCAGGGTCTGGGTCTGCCACTCTGCAGGCCAGCATTGCTTCTGTACTCCAGAGGTCTCTGTGACTAGGGAAGTAGCCACATGGTACACATGGGGAATCTTCTGTCATCGTCATTGAAGACATGTATGTCTCCCATGAACAGCTAAAGTCTGTTTGGATCTTGGGATGTGTCCATTCACCTAATGGTACATGCTTATATTAGAAATACTTTGGGGGCTGGAGAGATGGCTCCGTGGTTAAGAGCACTGACTACTCTTCCAGAGGTCCTGAGTTCAATTCCCAGCAACCACATGGTGGCTCACAACCACCTGCAATTAGATCTGGTGCCCTCTTCTGGCCAGCAGGGACACATGCAGGCAGAACACTGTATACATAATAAATAAATAAATCGGCTGGGCGGTGGTGGTGCATGCCTTTAATCCCAGCACTCAGGAGGCAGAGCCAGGCGGATCTTTGTGAGTTCGAGGCCAGCCTGGACTACAGAGGGAATTCCAGGAAAGGCGCAAAGCTACACAGAGAAACCCTGTCTCAAAAAAATAAAAAAATCAATAAATAAATAAATCTTAAAAGAAAGAGAAACTTTGATGATCTCTTAGCCTATTGGCTAATTTTTATACTATATTAGATCTGTTTTGATATTTGAAGTACACAGTGTGCCTGATTCTCCCAGACAAACGTTTGGATATTGTTGGAAGTAGGCATAATGTTGGAAACTCCTAACCTTGGGGTATTTGTTTTGTCTTACAGGATGAGTACAAAATTCTACAGGAGCTTTACCAGTTTAAAAAGCCTGATAGTAACCTCACTGAGGTAAGCCTGCACTTGACCTACCACTAAGTACTTGCTTTCATTATTAGGATGATTATCTTAAGAGAGTTTGTGTAGCTATAGCCAGCCTCAAATTCAGCCTCCTTAGTGCTGGGATTGTAAGTGTACGCCACCTTGCCTAGCTCTAAGAATATCTTGTAGCTTATTTAAATGTTCTCAGCTCTCCAGATTCTTCTTCGTGTGCATATAGATATTCACACACACACATGTGTATTCTTTTGGTGAATGCTTCGGTTAGTACAGAGAAAGTAGTTTTAGCTAACTGAACTGGTATTTCCATCATAATAGTATTTTACTTGTTTTTTAAAGGAATAACCGTAACCTCAGTTTTTCAATGTTTTTGAAGGAAGATTTGGTAGATATTGTTGATACTCGAACTCGTCAACTGGAAGATTTAGAAGCAGTTTTTGCTGATTTATGTGACGGTGATGGTGAAGAAGCTGTACAGAGATGGGCTTCAACCCCCGGGTAAGACCCCAGACCTTTTTCCTTCCCAAATCATGAGCTGTCCATCCTAGATACATTTCAAAGTTTGTCTGACCAGTTGCTCCTTAAATTCGAATCAAGGGCTAGGGAGACGGCTTACTCAGTCAAGTACTTGCCACATCGCCATGAGCCCCGAGTTCAGATCCTGCACGTCTATTTAAAAAGCCAGACATGGTTGTAATAGGGAGGCGGAGACAAGATTATCCCTGTAGCTCACTGGCCAGCCAGCCTAGCTGAATTGATGGGCATTAGAGTCAGTGAAAGACCCTGTCTCAAAAAATAACGAAGAAGACACCCAGTATTGACCACTGCCTTTGTTGAGTATTATTTATGCACTCTCTGTAGAAGGGTTAAGAGAGAGACAGGAAGATCAGCTGCATATTGAGTTACAAGCTAACCTGGGCTTTGTGAAATAGTTACTTTTTTAAAATGATGGTAAGAATAGTAATAATAATAAATTTAGTTAAAAAGATAGCCAGGAGAGTGGTGTACACCTTCAATCCCAGCACTTAGTAGGTAGAGCAAGAGGGTCTTGAATTCCAGGTCAGCCAGCGCTACATAGTGAGACCCTGTTTCAAAGTAATTTAAAGAAGATGGTATCTTTCATTTCTCAACCATCCATCATTTGAAGCATGTATCCATGGTAGAGCTCTATTTTTTAATCATTATTATTTTCTGTATACTGCTGTGGGTTGAACCCAGAGCCTTGCACATGCTTGCTAGGCAAGCACTGAGCTATATGCTCCTGTCTTAGTCAGGGTTACTGTTGCTGTGATGAAACACCATGACCAAAGCAACTTGTGGGGGAAAGGGTTTCTTCAGCTTCTGCTTCTACAACACAGTTCATCATCAAAGGACGTCAGGACAGGAACTCAAGCAGGGCAGGAACCTGGAGCAGGAGCTGATGCAGAGGCCAGGGAAGGGTGCTGCTTACTGGCTTGCTCCTCATGGCTTGCTCACTGTACTTACTTATAGAACCCAGGACCACCAGCCCAAGGATGGAACCACCCACAATGGGCTGGATTCTCCCTCACTGATCACTAATTAAGAAAATTCTCTACAGGCTTGCCTACAGCCTGATCTTATGGAGGCATTTTCTCTCTTGAGGTTCCTTCCTCTCAGATGACTTCAGCTTGTGTCAAGTTAACATAAAACTGTCTAGCACAACTCCTAACCCCAATCCATGATTTAAAATAAAAAATCGAGTATGCCATTTGTTGCCAATGCTAGTCAAGGTTATTGTGGTGTTTAATGACTGGGGTGGCTTTTTTCCAGAATGGAATCACTAGTTCCACTTGTACAGAGTTTGAAAAAACGGATGGAAGTACCAGACTATGAAATGGTAAATATTTCATATCATTGTAAAATTGATGCTTTATACAGGTAATTTTCTGGGTGAAAATTTTCTTAAATTGACTCATTTTGTTAATATTACTTATTTAAAAATTAAAGAGTGATAAAATACATACTTTTCACAAAAGATTTTTAAAAATATTTTCCAGGGGACTGGAAAGATGGCTCAGTGGTTAAGAGCACTGACTGCTTTTCCAGAGGACTTGGGTTCAATTCCCAGCTCTCACATGGTAGCTCACAGTTGTCTGTGACTCCAGTTCCAGGGGACCCAACACCAATGTCAAAACACCAATGCACATAAAATAAAAATGAATAAAATTAAATATATATTTTTTTCCCAGGAGAAAGATTTTGTTGTTGTTGTTGGTTGGTTGGGTTTTTTTTTTTTTTTTTTTTTTTTGAGACAGGGTTTCTCTGTGTAGTTTGGAGCCTTTCCTGGATCTTGCTCTATAGACCAGGCTGACCTCCAACTCACAGAGGTCCACCTGGCTCTACCTCCTGAGTGCTAGAATTAAAGGCATTTGCCACCACTGCCCAGAGAGAGATTCTTATTTTATTTATCTAAGAAGCAAAGGTACTCTGAATCTTGTACTGTTTTTACTATGATTTGAGACAGGGTTTCAAACACACACACACACACACACACACACACACACACACACACACACACACACACACACCCGGGATCCTCTGGCCTCCACTCACAGTTCTGATATTTCAGGCATGCACCACCAGGCCCAACTGTTACTTCCTCTTTGTTTTTTTTCTGTGCTTGTTGATAATCCAGTCTTACCTCACCATCCATAATTTAGTCTCTGGTTTCTAATTTCATCATCTACTTATTGATGTTTTTTCTATTTTCAAACAAGGTTTCACTGCATATCCCTGGCCAACCTGGAACTTGCTGAGTAGACCAGGCTGGCCTCAAACTTCCTGTGAATAAATGCTGGGAATAAAGGGGTATGCCACCACGCCTGGCCATTAGTTCTTACTGGGGCTCTTTTCCTTTCTCTGAAAATTTACCAGATCATAAAAACCAAAAGAGAAAAAAGAAAAAAACTATGTCTGGTACATTTTAAATGTTAGTTCTTTGCCACTTGTCAGTAGTGAACTGAGTGGTGAGGCAAAGACCTGTGATCATAATTTCTAACTCCTAGCACCTTAGAGTCCTTGAAGCAGATATTTTCCTTTTTGACCCAATATTTGAGAATATGTAAAGCTTTAAAAGTTCAAGTGAGGGCTGGAGAGATGGCTCAGAGGTTAAGAGCACTGACTGCTCTCCCAGAGGTCCTGAGTTCAATTCCCAGCAACCACATGGTGGCTCACAACCACTTGTAATGAGATCTGGTGCCCTCTTCTGGCCTGCAGGGACACATGCAGGCAGAACACTGTATACATAATAAATAAAATAAATCATTAAAAAAAAAAAGTTCAAGTGAAGCCAGGAAAGGCTTCACTATAGTCTGCACACTCTGAGAGTGGAGGCTACAGTAGCATGTTCTGGGCTAGCCTGGACTACATGCTTCCTTCAAAGCCAGTCTGGGCCACAAAGCAGTGCAGTTCAGGTGCGTTCCTCAGATTGTTAAGATGCCACAGCTGAGACTCCAAGTCCCTGCCTCTGAGTCTGCTGCTTCTGTCTCATCAGTGAGGTGTTTTTGGTTTTCTTTGGTTGTGGAATGCTGTCATGCCACTTTATTGGAGCTGATGTTTACTAACTTAATCTTCACTTATGAAATATAAATAAATAAATAAGTAAATAAATAAATAAGTGGCAGCATGGTTAATGCTTGCTAAGCCAAGGCTTACTCTTCTCTGAAAACGGTGTTTGTTAAAAATAGCACATGTTGGGGCTGGAGAGATGACTCAGTGCTTAACAGCACAGGCTGCTCTTTCAGAGGACCCAGGTTCAGTTGCCAGCCCCCACATGACCACTCACAACCATCTGCAACTCCCGTTCCAGGGGATCTGATGCCCTCTGGCCTCTGCAGGTACTGCCCACATGTGGTGCACATACATGCATGCAGGTAAAACACCCTTACACATAACCTAAAAAAAGAAAAGAATGGTAGGTGCATGGTACTCAGGGCTTGAAAATGTTGATGCAGTTAAATGCCTGAAGCATTCCTTGATTGTTCTCTCTCTCTCTCTCTCTCTCTCTCTCTCTCTCTCTCTCTCTCTCTCTCTCTCTCTCATCACAATGCACACGCAGCAGTCAGACTATAGAATTGGTTCTCCTCCTGCTTTTACATGGGTTCTTGAGATTGAACTGAGGTCCAGGCTTTTCGTGGCGAATGCTTCCATCGGTGGAGCCCACTGTCCCCATCAGCCTTTGTTTTTGAGACGAGGTCTCCCTGAATGTGAAGCTCCCCGTTCAGCTTGGCTCGCTGGCCAGTGAGCTTTAAGGCTCTCCCTGTCTCCTCCCTGCCCACTCTCCCAAGAGTCTTCTGAAGTCACTGAAGTCTTACAGTGCCATTTAGAGTCTTTTTGAGTGGTGGGTCTGGATCCTGTGCTTTACATGCTAGGCGCTAGGCATACTCTCTGCCATCAAGACACAGATCTGGCTCCCGGTGTCATTTTTTCCTTATCTTCAGGTTCACCAGGCTGGGCTAACCTGCGATTATTCCGAACTCCCTCATCACATCAGCACAGAAGAAGAAATTGAGGGTCTTATTCAGTCTGTGTATTCTTTACTGAAAAGTCTTCCAAAGCCTACTCTTGTGACAATTGCAAGGTAAGTGTGATTGGCTGAATGACGGCCCGTCACAGACGTCCGTGTCCTGCTCTCTGGAACCTCTGCACAGCAGTAGGGACCCTGCAGTGTGAAGAATGGAAGGGTTTGGAAGGGGTTCTCCTCGGTTCTGTCATAGTTCTCCTCCTCAGAGGGGGTCTGAACTCTGAATCAGGAGAGAAGGTTTGGAAGGTGCGTACTGCCAGCTTGGGAGATAGAGAGTGGGTCTCCTGTTCTCAGCAAGGAATGCAGGCAGCGTCTAGATGCTAGTAAAGGGGAGAGAGCAGAACTCTCCTAAAGCTGTGGGCCTTAAAACTCCTCCCCACCCCACACGTACACACAGAAGAGATCGCTAAGCAGGTAAGAGCATTTGCGGCTCTTTCGGAGGATCTGAGTTCTGTTCTCAGCACCCAACATCAGGTCACTCACAACCACAACTCCAATTCTAGGGTACCCAATGCCCTATTCTAGACTCTGTGGACGCCCACACACATGGGCACACATTCACACAACACAAACACATAAAAGTAAATTTTAAGGAAAAGAATTCCCTTACCCTAAGATGAAACTTTGTCACCTCCATGGGGCTGGTGAGCTTTTAAAAGCATGTAGGGCATGATCTGGGGAGATGGCATGCCATGCAAGTATGAGGGCCTGAGTTCAGCCATGGTAGCATCTGCTTGGCACACACACTTGAGAGGCAAAGGCAGGAAGGTTACAGGGAGCCTGAGACCAGCCTGGTCTATAAAACTAGTTCAAGACCGTCCAGGTCTGCGTTGCAGCATCCTGTCTCAAAACAAAACTACAGAAAGTTGGTAATTGTACCTGTCCTATAGAATAGCTTTTTAAAAATAATAATAAAGAACAATTCTTGTAAAGCACCCGCATGTCTCTTCACTGGCAGTAGCACACACAGGCTGTTCCTCCGCACAGAATGACTTTATCATGCTCACATAGCCTTCCTCTTTTTCTCTTGGCTCCAGGTCAAGTCTGGATGATTACTGTCCTCCTGAACAAGTTGACACCATTCAGGAAAAGGTCCTCAGTGTGCTGCACTCGCTCTATGGGACCCTGGACACTCACCTGGTGTATTCAGAAGAGTCTCCACCATGTTGAGAACACAGAGCACTAGGCACCTATGCATTTTGTTAAAGTCACGGGGCCTTTGTTTGTGAGTCTTCCAGAGTACACTTTTACTTTTTGGCTTTTCGAGACAAGGTTTCTTTGAGTATCCTTGGCTGTCCTGCAACTAGTTCTGTAGACCAGGCTAGACTCAAACTCACAGAGATCCTCTTGCCTCTGCCTCCCAAATGCTGGGATTAAAGGCATGTGCTGCCACCACCCAGCCAGAGTACACCTTTTATGTTAACTTTCAGTTGATATCAGTCAGATATTTTGAATCTCAAGCAAATAATCTGTTGTTGAAAATGGCAATTGGGGTAGAGGTAAGGGATGTCTGTTTGATTTGATTTTATTGATTTTCATCAAATCTGTTAACCCCAGTTGATGGGGACTGTTGGCTGTCTTTATCACAATTTGATATTGTAAGAGATTGTTTTCTTTTCCCCTTTGGATTATATGAGATTTATTTATTTATTCATTCATCTGATGTGTATTTAGCATGTCACTGTACCAGACACTGCCCTTCTGGGGGAGACACATGAGAAGCAAATAATGGGCTGGGAACAGTTTCAGGAAAAAAGAGAGAACCACAAATGTGTCTCGGGCGTGCAGTTAGTTCTCAGGTACCCTGGCCTTGTAGGAAAGTAACATTCTCAAAAGTGATGCAAAGACATCCTTGCCAGTTCATGAAAATGTTACAGCAAAGCTGCCTGTCTAAGGATGTTGGAATTGTGCCCACGCTTTGACTAAATGTTCTCGAGCATTGTTTTTGTGTAAGAGGTCTGCTTGAGTAAACCTGACCAAACAGAATTTCTCTTTTTGTTGTTGCTTGTAGGTTTTTGTTTGTTTGTTTTTGTTTTTGTTTGTTTTGTTTTGTTTTGTTTTTGGTTGGTTTTTCGAGGCAGGGTTTCTCTGTGTAGCCCTGGCTGTCCTGGAACTCACTCAGTAGACTAGGCTAGCCTCTAACTTGAGAACTACCTGCCTCTATCTCCTGAGTACTAGGGTTAAAGGCGTGCACCACCACTGCTGGCTGCCTGTAGTTTTTGGTGCTTGGAAAGGCTTTGGGAGTTACTGCCTTCAGGTGGTCACTGTGGGCCTCAGCTGGCATTCTGTCACTGAGTGTCACTCTATTGGCAATCAGGGTCAAGGGGCTTTAAAGTTGCTAAGCAGTTAAGAGCACTTGCTGCTCTTGCAGAGGACTAGAGTTCAGTTCCCAGCACCCACATGGCAGCTCACAACCTCTTGTGACCCCAGACCTAGAGGCTACACTCTCTTGTGGCCTCCCAGCACCACACACATGGCTACATACCCACACATACACACATAAATAAAAATAAATCTTAGCCGGGCGGTGGTGGCGCACTCCTTTAATCCCAGCACTCAGGAGGCAGAGCCAGGTGGATCTCTGTGAGTTCGAGGCCAGCCT